TATGCTAAATAATAGGGCTGAAGGATTAGACATCCTGGTCAGCTAACCCAAGTACCTCTTACGTTAACCCTTTGATTCGGGCGATTTCCGCCACCGAGGCGTTCTGCTTGCGAATCTAGGGATGGCTTATACGCAGGTACAGCCGGTGACATACATGGAGGACATGCATAGGGCTCTCATATATAGGGCAATATGAACCGCCCCAGCTATCAGGGACACGGTTAGTATGAGGGTGTATGGGTAATACTACATGAATAGCAGTTCTTTATACGGATATAAAACTCTGTGCAACTCGAATAGGCAGCATCGACGCAGATGCGCAGAGGGTTTCTGACGCGGCCTCTTCGTGTACAAATTAAGTTTGTGCGCATTTGCGACTACATCTTAGGAGAAATAACCGAATATTTACGAGAGGTTATTATTGAAATAATAGGCGGTGGATCGTGACTCAGGGGTAATGAAGATATTGGTATTTGGATATTGTTGACTAGGCATACTTATGAAGAAGGCTGCAGATTGTTCTCTTACGCCCTCTCTAAGTTGGCGTAACGTTTCGTTAACATATAAGATACCTATACATAATAATAAAAACTATCTACTAATATTTACTATTCAGCTATCTGCCTAAGAGGCTTGAAATTAGAGGTTACCGTCTAGTATCTATACTTAATTCAGATCGACCTTTTGTAAAGTGTATATTCGTCATACATCCAACTATTCGGCCGTAGTCCACATTATGAAGCTGCCGTGAATCCAATCAAGGGTCTAAATAGAACCAAAATTTGCCGGTAGGGTTGCTACAGCTTCATTTTATGCTCACGATCAAGGCTATGAGTTGAGGGTTTTTTCTACAGAGTGACTTAAACTCAGCCCCAACTCAATTACGATAAGGTCCTACGCCAAATTAACCAGTTGCCCTAGTAGAATGGTTCTCACTGCTCGGAGTGTACTCAGTTTTACTTAGATCTATAGAACAATACTATCTTGGGTACCTAACTCATACTCGCTACCATTAAGATGATTGGTGTACACCGAACTTTGCGTTATTTCATAGACAATCAAGAATTGTGAATGATATGACCTAGATTTCAACAATAAATATTTAAACACACGCCAAGCAAGCAAAGTCAAAGAACCAATTCCAAAACATATGCAAACGCGTAACGAGGCGCATATAAGTCATCCAATACTTGGACATTCTCCCCCAATCGAACTCGGTGTCGCATAAAACTGTCGTGTATCCCGACAACCTGGGACCCAATAAACCCGCTCGGCCCGGCTCGCCAGCGATCTGCCAGTCTGGTGATCCAAGATTACAAAACAAGTCACATATACCTATATGACCATAAGGCTAGGGTGGTATGCATGCAGCGAGCGTGCTTGGAGATCAAATGGGTAAGTCGTACGGTCCAATCAGAGCGCATCGCATCGCATCTCGGGACTGGGTTATGCGCTAGAAGCTGACCGCATGTAGATTAAGACATGCAGGTTGCGAATGAGGGACCGCTTTGGTCGTCGGTGTTACTAATAGGAAATAAAATATAGCTTTGAGGATTTGGAGATGGAGTACGGCTTGTATTGTGCATTGAGCTGATTATGATGACCCTCCCCCCTATTTGGTATATACGTAACTACTATGAAATACGCCCCTGGTTTACCTTCGCGGCTATTGGTTAAATCATAACATGTTTATTCGTATTGGTACGGAACTATATAATATTAATAAATACGTGAATATATTCATGCATTGAGGAAGTATCTTCTTAAAAGAAGAGTGCTGCAGAGGATATATCTGCTTGATATGGGCAAAGCACATGTATAATAAAGTTAGGAGATGTATTATACCTACCTAAGAGAACGAAGGCATCTGATCGTAAGAGCGTCTAAAAATGGATAGACATACAGTAACGTAGAATTAAGCATAAGAAACAATTAATTCAGCTGCTAAAGAAAGCATAGACAACTGATGGAGTTATGGAGGAGTTGTGGGTAGATAGGATATATCATATAGGGGGAAAGCTAGTTTATAAGCACTTCTCAAAGGCACATATCATATCTGACAATCAGCTTCAAGAAATCACCACGGCAAGTTTAATTACTAAAATATAAGAGATATGATATAATAAACATTCGCAACTTGGTGCATCCGGAAAACACCTCAAGTATCCAACCCTAAGTTACGGAAGCCAGTAACTATACACACTGAAAAACTCCTTCATTACCGCCATGCCCTGTAAAACACTAGGAATATATAATGTTTGTATTTTTTTCGTTTATTCACTTTACTTCATACCCAAGTCGTAGCACCCACTAGCTTAAACGATATATACAGGCATGCGACTCCCGTAGGTCGCGCTACGCGGGATCATAACGTCGTCTCTATGAAAATCATGCAGCTGAAGCCAGCATAGCATGCGGAATACAAGCAGACACCACGTAGCATCGCGAACCCTAGCGTCGCTTCTCCAAGAAATAATAAAGCTATTCGTCTTCGCGGTCGCATCCGCTACTACTGGCGGCGGCGCCTCGACTTTTAGCTCCGCGAGCGGCAATTTGTAGAGGTCGTTTAGATCGCTACGTGACTCCGTCGCGGCGCGGCGGCTGTGCTGGAATAAGAAGGTGATATACGTGCGCTCGTTGACGCCGTCGTCGGCACGGCGAAGCGGGAATAAGTCCACGAACCACGACGGTCGATGTCTGAAATCTTGGACTAGGGAGGCGACGTGCTGGCTGACTACGTCGAGAACCAGGGTTTCGGAAGGCGACTCCCAGTCCCCCGGGGAGTTCTTCAAGTACCCTTCCACGATGGTCATGATGCGGCGCAGGCTATCCAGCAGCGTGGGCGAGTAGTCCTTCACGCTGGGATTTTCTAGGTACGGGCTTATACGCTCGAGCGCGGACGCGATGGCAAGTAAGGGTTCCGGCGTATCTCCCGTTTTGGCGTAGACTCGGTTTAGCTGCGAGAGATGCTCCTTGAAAACTAGAAGCAGACGCTTCGTCTTGAACCATCGACGATCCCAGCGGAATATGGTCGGGTTGGGTAGGAAACGGTAGCAGTATCCCTCGACGGAGATTGACCTGCCCAACATTCCTAAAATGTCAAATACGACTGGATGATGATATTAGTTTGTAGCTTATAAATATTATACGTCACGGTTCCGAGATGGACAGCACTAAAAAAAAATGAGAGAAGTAAGTTACTATACTTACTTGGGAAAAGGTGAGAACTCCTCGCATCTTGGCTAAGAAAATGCTCCGATATAGATATGGGACATCCGATATCCATAAGCGTCTCGACGATCTCCTGCCGACTCCCCAGCCTCAGGAGCGGTAGAATCGGATCCGTAGCAATTTCGCGCTCGCCCTTCTCCGTAACAAAATCATACTTGTCGAGGAAATAGAAGGTTGGGGCAAAGCCGAAGGATAGTCTCTTTATTATGTTGCTGGGAATAAGCCGGTGCTCGCGAAACTCGGTTTTGTCGTGTCTGACGAACTTGAACACGATGCCCTGCTCGGCATTGAAAGACCCCAGCAGCATGCATCCGTTACCCTCGGCGCGATAGCGGTCTACCGTAGCGTCCCACATGGTCCAGTGGATGCCGAGCATGGCGGCTATCTCGACCATATGACCGATAGTTGTGTTGGCAAATGGCTTTTTGAAGTTCGGCACGAAGTCCCACGATAATGTCTGCGCCTGCGCCGCGACGGCCAGCGTACGATTGGCGAAAGGTAGAGGTTTCTCGCAGTCTTCTGTACTCCGTACGATATCCAGCCATTTCCCGCTCTCGCGCTCCATCGACTGCAAGGTTCGTAACAGCAGCACCCAAGTAGCTTCGACGTTGACGCCGTGGCGGACAGCAGTAGTCCTAGGAAATGGACCCGATTCAACGGGCATCGGTGTCCTGGTCTCTGCAAAGCTCTCGTCGGTCCCGCTCATATACCAGATCTCGCGGCCTGGGACGGGCCCGCGCTGGTTCCAAGCCGGTGCAACAAAGAGAATGGGAGATTCAAATATAATCTCGTATCGTAATTCTAGCCATCTCCACCGGCGGCGAGTGAGTTTCGCCCAAGGACCCATGACTCTTTCATTGCAGTTTCTTGCGCCAAGCGCATTGAGTGATACATTCGTATAATACTGATATAACAACTGAATGGACGAGATGATCAACGCAATAAAAGAAATTACGGTAGCGACCACGCCTGCGAGAGTAGCACTATCCATACCCGTATTGCCTACATTATTATTATTTCCGCTGTCATTCGTAGTCGAGCCATCCATTGTAATTCGGCTACGTGACTAGGTTAGGTTGTTCCCAACCTCGTCGAAAGCGAGAACCTAGTCAATCTTAGGTTAACGTCTAATGGAGTTGAAATACTAAATGCTAGGTTGTGAATTATATCCACAAAGCCCTAGGTTAGGTAGTAAAGCTATAGCAAACACATGAAGTTTAGGGGTAGTTTATATAAAATAGAGAACAGAAAAGAAAATATATTTTCTGAAACTATGAACTGATTGTCTTGTCATGATGAGTTTCTGTTTTTGGATATGAGAATTGAAGGATGGGTACTGCATCTGGGACCCTTGTCTCCGTTCCATTGGCTGAGCGGTGTGCATCGATCAGCCCTAGTAAAACGGTCAAATATAATCTGTAAACGGTATCTAATGTTTTGGAGACTTGCCGTTTGCTCATAATTCATGATTTCCAAAGTTACATGTAGTTGGATTAAAGGCAAAGAAGCACGATTTTCGGATGGGAGAAAAGATTTATACACTAATACAACGGCGAGGAATCGTATTCGATTTGAACCACGCCATGTTCATCTTCATTCATATCCTCTCTCATCGAATTTCGACTATATCGGCCTTGTCGATTATAGTTTCTCTATCATTGCCTCAAGACTTGTTGCAGGCATACGTAGCCATTACCGCAAAGTCTAAGTGCCAGTACGGGTCATTGCTATAGAAGTAGTATAGCTGTTAATGTACAAGATGGGATGCTTTAGTTCGCATCAGGCTGGCTCAAGATGTACTCTACAGCCTGGTTCACTGTATAGAGAGTAGAGTTAGCAGCTTGATCGAATAAAACCTTGGGTTGTTTTTTGTTGAGGAATTCGTACCACTGTGAATACCATCTGCGTCCTTGTCAGGAATCTCAATGCTGAATTCCTATATATCTTGTTAGCTACTGTATTCAACATTTTGATGCCAGGTAAAAAATATCAAGAATATAGATGCTTGCCAACTAATATTCTAGGGTAAATAACTAGTGCATACCTCTTCTATCGCCATAACAACCTCCACTGTATCTAGGCTATCCAGACCTAGGTCGTTTGCGAAGTGCGCAGTAGGCTTGAGCTAATGAAGGTCAGTATACCGAGAGATATATATGATGTATTGATGTTGGGTCCTTACGTTGCTCGGGTCGTTAACCTATTTAATATCCAGTTAGCAACTTTGATCTCTTTATATACCATAATTTCCCCATATCCACAAATTGAATGCTACGAAAGCACCAAACATAGACTACAACCTAACTGCTCTACGCTATGTTCCGGCAGCATATATAATCCAATATCCCCCTCCTTCACCCAAGTAGCAATAATTCGAGACGCCTTACAGACCAACTTACCTTGTCGAAATTTTGTAGAATGCCAAGAATACGACCCTCAACCTCCTCCTTCTTCAGTCCACTGCCGGCAGAATACATTCGTACGGTTTGAAAGGCAGCGAGTCGGGGCGCTGGTGCGAAAATAGCTCTGGCGGGGACGACGGCTTTTCGGGCGATAGGTCGAGCGACAGCGGCGCGGGACGCCGTGGCGGCAGTACGAATTAATACTGCGCGGAACATGGTGGCGATCGATAACGAGTCAATTGGTGGTTTAGGGAAGGGCGGGAGGAAAACGTGGTCGTTGAAAATGGTGATACGTAGTGAATTTGAGCTTCGATGCGCGCGGAGGTTTTCAACGATAAATTTCTCGTCATCTCAAAGTTCAACTCCGAGCTTGGACCCCATCGGAGCTAGCGGCCATTCGAATAAAAGAATTACACGTGACTATCTTTGTACATAACTAGTGCCCCTCAGTTAGAATCAATCGGACTGAAAGGTCCGAATTACAGCTGTATGTCAGCTGATAAGCGGCACTTAATGCACATAATTCCATCATTATGTGGCTATGATCTAATGTGGCTTCCCTGACTCGGGCTTGAGCTATAAACCAATCACGGCAAAGCTTTTGTAATAATGGTAATCTTGAGCTCCACCTAAAATCCCGACACTCCAGCATGACCTCAAAGCTTCAACCAGATATCGCCTTCGACTATTTTAATTTCGACAATTAACCTTTTCGCCTTTGGTCTTGTCGCCCAATTGCACTGCGCCATGCAAGGGCTTACAACATCGACAACAGCTATGCTGTCTCGTCAGCTAGTACGCCGACAGCCCATCGCGGCCTCGACAGTGGCTAGAATAGTCGCGCAACGGACATACGCAACACCCGCTGGTCCGCCCGTGAAGGGTTTCCGAACTCCCCCGCCGAAGCGATGGAATGAAGAAGAAGATGGAACATTCGAACGCGCTGGAAAGTACTTCCTCCTGACTGAGATGTTTAGGGGCATGTACGTCGCATTAGAGAACTTCTTCAGGCCACCGTAAGTCCTACCTATATATCGATCACCGGAGAAAGATTATAATGCTAATGTGCCACGACGCCGTTAGATACACAATTTACTACCCTTTTGAAAAGGTTCGTAATAATCGAATGCCTATATTTGTTGTCTAGACGAGCCTGCGCGATATACTCTCGAGGTGATATTGCGGAAACAATATTTAAGAGAGGGGAAGCATTCAGCGGGATTCAGAAGCTAATACTCTCTCAGGGTCCTGTATCTCCCCGATTCCGTGGCGAACACGCCCTAAGGCGTTACCCGTCAGGCGAAGAGCGATGCATTGCCTGCAAGCTATGCGAAGCGGTACGTCTTGTCCTAGGACGGATATCATTACTTAAAGTCTGCTTTTTCTTCGTTCTAATGTCTGACTGACTCTATATAGATCTGCCCTGCGCAAGCCATCACAATTGAAGCAGAAGAGCGAGCTGATGGTTCAAGACGGACAACCCGATACGATATCGACATGACCAAATGCATCTACTGCGGCTTTTGCCAAGAATCATGTCCCGTAGATGCGATTGTCGAGTCGCCTAATGTCGAATATTCGACTGAGACGAGAGAAGAGTTACTATACAACAAGGAGAAGCTCCTGGCGAATGGAGACAAATGGGAGCCCGAGTTGGCGGCTATCATCAAGGCTGACTCCCCTTACAGATAATCAAATTAATCAAGGGTCTAACCAGTTGGAGTTGTATTGTAACGCTGTAAATATCAACTGAGGGGCAATACACAGTTTCCATTTGTGGCGTTCAAAATACCTGGCTTCTAGTCTCTGGTGTTATAGACCAGATTTTAGACATCAATGATGCTAACATGGTTGTTTTAGGTAAGGGCAATTAGTATTGCTTCGCAGTTTATTATTATAAATAAAATCTGTAAATACCTATATATGCCACGGAACTAGACTTTTATTATTATTATTAGCATACTAATAGGCATTTTCACTAATGAGCAATTCGTCCAAATAACTAAATGGAGATATTATTAAATTCAATAGTTGACAGATATCGGGTATACTACTTCACCCAAGATGCCCAGCTTTGCGAATACATTCTTTACTAACCTCGTGCTTTTATTATTCCACAGTACTACAAGCTCTAGATCCTACAGGTTAACAAGTTCGCCCAACGTCCGGTAGTAGGAGTAGTAGTGACATACCTTAGAATAGGGGGTGATATGAAGGAGTCTTTCATCTCTTCCCGACAACAACACATAAACTAAACTAAACTCTACAAACCAAAACTTCCAACTCCCAACAGGTAATATACCAGGTATACTCCCCCCCTTCACTTCGGCGCATCCGTAAGCGGTACATACCTAACCCCAAACAGCTTCTTCTTCTTAACACCCCCATGCTCGTCCTTATCCACGGTCCAGATATACTGCTCGGAGCTGCTCTCCGCCGCGACAGGTATGAACATGCGCCCCGGGCAGCGCAGCTGTCTCACCAGGTCCTCGTGCAGCACCGCCGCCGCCGCACCTACATGTATCGCGTCCCAGCCTCCCGCCTCGTCTTTCCTCTCGTGTTCCCTTGCTACGTCTGGAGCAGCCGCACCCCCGACACCCGGCTGCGCATCCCCGGGACTCGGCTCCTCCCACCCCTTGCGCCCGTCGCCCACGCGGAAGCGCACGCGCCCAGACGCTAGCAGCGCTCTGCCCTCGGCGGATTTGCCCACGTTGCGCTCGCCGAGATCTCTCAGCGCGGGGATATGTTCCAAACCGACTACGACGCCCGTCTCTCCTGCTAGTTCCGCGAGCACGTGTGTCAGATACCCGCTTCCGCTGCCGATATCGAGGACCCTTCTCGGCCGGCCGGCTTGGCCGATTACGCTCGCCGCGCTATCAGCGGTAGACTGGTGGCCGTTGTCGGGGTTCGGCAGGAGGAAGGGGAGCAGGGTTTCGACGGCGTGGGCGTGCATGTGGGGAGCGGAGATGGTGGCGTGGTGGCCGATGGGCTGGGGGCTATCTTCGTAGGCCATCGAGGGGGCATAATGGGCACGATCGACTTTGAGGAAGGCGGATTTGACGAGCGGTTGCGTGATGAGCTTGTTGCGCCAGAGGTTCTCGACTAGCTCGGCGTTGGTGGCGCCGGAGCTGCGCCAGGCCATGCTGATTAGTTGTCTAGATCGGATCGAGCTTTTAATTTAGTAGAGCTAGACTAGGAGAGCTCAAAGACGGGACGATGAGTTAGGTGATAGTTTGGATATATTATAATCTCCTTGTATCAAATCGGTAGGTTTCTGCTAGAAGAAAGCTCGAGAACTATTCCGATAGAATCTCGAAGATGGTTTGAAACAAATAAGCCTAATATGGTTTGTTATAGATTTCGTTTGAGTATAACGCACGATATGTACAATACATGGAATTGAATGACATCAAATCTCGTCATATTTCATTCGGTTTGACATTTACGCAATGCGGGGCACTTACACCCGCACTTACATCCACGTTCCAGTCAAGTCTTATTTAGTCTTATCGATAAACTATACATAACATATCTCGACATTAGTATTTTAAGATACAAACTCCAACCTACCATAAGAAGCTAAAATGTATACTTATTAGTAGATCTGGGTCCAGGCGGGTTCGTTCAGGGTCTTAGTGGATCTTCTTAGTTAAACCCACTCAGGTACTTACGTGGGGCCATTTATGTTCTCACCCATAATTGTAGAGATAATGATATATGTATATTACACCGGAATTGCTTCGAAATGCTCTGCTGAAGCCTGGATCCATAACTAATCCTACGAGTTCTAGGTCGTTCACAAAGGAAGACAATGATATTCCCAGTACCTATTACGCCGTTGTTTTGAGAGAACCCTCCGTACGCCTAAACCTATGCCCGAATCCTGATATAAGTTGTCTAATAATCGTGTTCGCTGTATTGATCTGAGAATACACCATCAACTTCGGATGGGCAGGGACTTCGATTATGTTATTTTAAACCACCGTTTCAGGCCTTTCACCTTCAGCAATAATCGGAATACCCAAGCCCCTGTCTGGGCTTTGTAGCACGAGCTGCTCATGCCTCCTGACCTTGATGTAGTCGCTAACTGACCGGATCAAGATAAACCAACCCACGATCATAAGCAGATACGCTATCCATTCACTGCCCACAATATCGCTAAAATCCGAGCCTTCCTCGCCGCTATTGGTCGTAACAGCGTTGGGGTCAAAGTCGTGGCTGTTAGGATCAGGAGGTTGCGCATATCCATCTGTAGGCGCGCCGCCCATACCACTCGAGTCGGGGGATGATCCTTTCATGTAGAAACCGTACTGAACGAGTGTGATACCGAGCCCGGCACGAGAGCCATTCTTCGCCGCGTGTGTCGAGTGTAATAGATATGTGAGGAGAAAGCCAACAAAAAACACTTGAAACGACATGCTGATCATTCCGTTCCATATGAAACTAAATACCGAGCCAACGGGCATTCCATCGATGTAAACATCATCGGGACCACCAAGGCCCGGTGCCAGTATTGTCGTCTCCCAGTATGGCGGCGCAGCATCTGCAGCTGCTTGCTCGTATGTCTTAAGAAATCATTAGTAACGTATGATGCGTTAATACAATACAGCTAAGACATACCGGAGGTGCTTCTTCCACGATCTTCTCTCCCCTCTCCGGCCGAGCCATCATGTTGGAGAAAACACCATCGGATTGTATCCCACCGCCGTACACTCTTGAGCCAGCATGCTGAGTGTTGGTACCACCAGAAGAGAACTGCGCCGTTTGTCCTCCGTTAGATGATCGCACATCTCCTCCGTTTGAAGCTTGGTTGGTAGGATTGTTTGAAATGGGAAATGAATTTCCTCGAACTAAGCGCTGTCTATCATCGGGTTCGTCGTCGTCGCTATCGTCATCTTCGGCGTCGAATGCGTCAGCTAGGGTAGGATCGACATTTCGCCTTCTTCTTTCAGCGGATGAGGCCCGCGAATGAAATGAAGGCGGGGGAGAGTTAGGTGTCGACTGCGGTCGTAATGAAGAGGGAGCAATCGGAGTGTCAGGCTCGTCGTCTTGGGTATTGACCCGTTCGTAACGTCCGGACATCGTAAAGGTGGTAGGTAGAAACCAAAATGAAACAGTTGAAGGAGTAGCAAAAAGTGGCGGATTCCGGTTAGTAAAAGAAATAAATATTTGCGTCGCAGGATTATTGATTGAACAAGAAGAGAAAAATAGGGTAGAAGTAGATTCCTAGTCTTTGAAGTTTGAAGGAGAGTGAGTGTATTGAAGACTAGGAAAAAAAGATGGAGAGATGAATGATTGATTTGATGAAGAAGTTGATGGTAGTGAAAAGGGAGACATGCGACACGGGGGCAGAAGCGGCGGCGGGATTAGAGGGAAAGCGATGATGCGACTACGTTTAGGTACCTAAAAAGATAGTTCACCCGCAGTAAATGCAGTGAATGCACCCGGTCGCAGGGATGTTTTAGGTACATCGAACAGCGCCGAAGCGAAAGGTTCTACGGGTCCAGCTGACCAATAGCGCCTGACAGCCCCAAGCGCAATGGTTTGAATGGTAACCCAAGATGGACGCACGAGCCACATACACACTTAAACTCTAACAATCAATTCGGCAATTTCAGAGAATTAAACTATTGGAGGCCTGCGGTCGGAGGTTATCCTATCCCCATTAGGCCTAATCCTTATTACGGTAATCGATACGAAATCTTGAAATACTTTCTATTAAACTATTATTGTTCCTTATCGATATCGATATGCAAAGGTAAGCTCTTTGATTCGTTCCGTCATTGATTATCATTAAATTTCTATAGCTTAACGACGTAAAGTTGTCGATGCGCTAAAGAGACATCACATCGTATAGCGAAGCATTCAACCGAATGCCCAAGATCAACTAGTAAGAGGAGTATGTGATCAGCAACCCTACTCATTGCGCTGAACAATAATGTCTCGTCAAGCAATCGTATGTTAACGATCCGCCATCATATCGTCATATCGTCATATCCAAGTTAACTTGTCGATTATTCGTATATCTTACTTACACGATTATAGAGCGCTCAGCGCCATGTACTACGGGCTCTCACCCAGTGGCCCAAAGATACTTTACGACCTCAGATCCAGTTCCAGGACGTACTGCGTAAGCGATTTGAAGGTTCCTCTGGTCTATCCGAGCAAGATCAGCTGAAACAAGCCAATGCGCTATACTCACTTTTGGATAACCGGTATAAGAAAATGGTATGACTGATAGCTTCGGTCCTCTCCTTCTTGCAGAGGGTGAATACTAAAATAAATACAGTACCCCATCACAGGCTCCCTATTACGCCCTAGGAGTAAGCCGACGTATTTTACAGATTTGGTAAAGGAGCTTGAGGAAGCACCAACTCGATCCTATTTAGATAGGTTATGGTTGCGGGTGAAGGGTATTGTAAGAATACAATAATAATAGCAAGAAACTCTTGTAAATCAGCAAAGGATTACATGTATCATATATTGGCAAGTCAATACTACTCAGGGTCACGAACATTGCGCAATCTTGCTGGGTGGTCAAGTAGTATCATTCGGTCTCTTTATTATTTTCGAAGCCTATGTGCATTTCTACCTGCTGCCCCTATGAATATTCGATAATATCCCACGTCAATAGCAGCGCTCCCTTCGTAAGAACTCTTACAATAGCTGATGAATGGTCTCATAACGAAGCTATGGATAAGAAACCGTAGCGGATTGTCATCTCTTGAACATCGCTCGAAAGCCTTGATCCATTCCCTCTTCACACCAACCAATACCAAAGCTGCGAGTCTTGAAACAATTCAACAACCAATCCCCAATCCATTTTCCGATTTTGATATAAGAATATCATCAAGTCATGTATCCCTGTGTTGCCGGGTATCTGTCTAAATGAAGAAATTCTCTCCCACGTCTATATGTATTTATTTTCCGGATCCATTGTCCGCATCAGCTCTATGCTCTTTTCATACATAGTGAAGACTATGCCACCGCTCATGACCAGTCGTGCCAATCTCGGCAGGGCTCCGCTCCAAAAGGTCAAGACACCCTCATGCTTAAAGATTAAGGCCGCGCACCGGAAACTATTTCCATAGACTTGTTTCGCCTCGATGCTCTGCATCCTAGTCTTAATCGTGTCGAGAGGCTGAGTTACAGCCACGGTTATGGCGCCTGCTACACTCCCTATGCCAAAGGTAGCCACCGTCCCGAGCTTCTCACCAGGCGCGGTATATGATTCGGCAAGCTGCTTAAGGCTAGTATAGGAGCCAAATCGTACAGCACTATTCGCCGACTGTCTCGCAGCTGTGGGTACTAGGCCCTGGAAGAAGCCGCGAATACCTCGTTCTCTCGCAATGATCGGGACGGCGTGTAAGAAACCGCGCATACGTGGATTAGGCGACTTGCGATCGTCTATCAGGGTCGTCTTAATAGATTCGGTAGGAGTGACGGCGAGTAGAGACTCAGTAACACCAGCGCCGAAACCGGCGATGACGTTTCTAGGACCCGAGACCTTACCATTCTCGTCGGCGAGGAGGCGCTTATACTGTTCGAAGGATACGAAGCGTATAGCAGCTTTGGCAGAGTTGCCAATGATCAGAGTAGTGCAACCGGCATACCACTGCTTGCCAAAGGGTGGCCAAGGGAGCTTCTGACCGGCAGCTAACTTGCGATTGAGTTGTGTTCTTGTCTTGGCAAATTCGGCTGGGTATGTGATAGAAATCTCGATTGCACCGGCTGTAGCGCCTGCTATGATAGACCGTAGCGCGCTCGGTTTTTCTGTCGACATTTTGCGCCGTGTTAAATTTGGAGTAGGGATTCGTTGTCGTCACTTCCGATTTTTATTATTATTCTTCTTTTCTTAGAGCTTTCTCCAGAATAAGCCCCGCGATCTCGATTGATGCATATTATGATTTGTGGATACAATGATGTATGTAATTATCTAACACAACTAACAACTAACAACTACAACATTTGTATGCAACTTCTACTCTCAAATCTCATGAAACTTATAACTCTTAATTCTTTCCGCATGTGAATAATATTATTCGATTTAGGTACTTACCTTGAATATGTGTAGAAGTAGGAACTTTCCAGGTTGAAAAATGTACTTTAATTCCTACAACTTTGCATTAGACTTCCCAATTCCCCGTTCCTTAACACTGCTATGCCCTCAATACTGACAGCAGCTGTCAAATATGAGCGGTGATCCATCCGTGAAGGACGGCAGAAAGCCGGCTGAAAATGGACAATCGTCAGGGGCCGGTTGTCATACGACACTTCAACACCAGACAGCCGTCACCGCACTTGCGAGTCTCCCCTTGAAGACTGTAGTTTCAGTCTTTCGGCACCAGTGGCATAAGGATAAATCCCGCATAACATTTGCGCACGCTGGGCAATACATGCGCGAGCATGACCTACCCTGCGTAAGAACCGAGTGGCCAAACTTGGGTAAATACCGACCTCGGCATTGGAGGGTTCACCACTTCCAGCTCCGTCTATTGAAAGAGGATCTCGTGTAGCATCGCGAGAAATTCGTCAAGCTATACTTAGATGCTCTAGTCGCGTCTACAAGGCTACCAAAGAAGGACCCAATCACTCAATCAAAGGCACATAGCATCCGGAAGCATTTGTATGCCTCTATCCTCTTTCATGTGGACGACAAAATACCTATACTAATCTAATAGTATAGCTGTAGAGAGCTGCGGGTTAGCCTACCAAATGACCTCGCCAAAGTTTACTACGGGAAAATACCTGCCTGTATGGACGACGCAATCGATCCCGGCGAGTTCATAAACCTAGTCGATCACTTCGGTGCAGAACGGCACCCCATGATCCTTACCGTCCCGATATCCTTGCATTTATGGAGTATCCATCAAGACTATCCAGATCTCCTCCCGAAGAATCCGGCGCCGTAGGACTGGACCATGCCGGCGGATGTCATCGAAGCCAATCATTGGAAGTTCAGAGAAGACCTATTCTGAGGGGTGGGTCGGAGGCAAGGGATACAAGCAGGGTTGATAACGGCAAGGACATCTCCTAGAACTATTATGTGTTACATTAAATGAACTATTGAGTATAAATAGGAAAAATAGAGTTATTGGGATACCAAGTTCATATCTGGTGAATTTCAATCAGAGACGGAATTGACATATGTACCTGATATATGGAATGTCTCAGAAGAATGTCGTGGATCCTGCTGATCAAATAATGGCTTGATCACAACTACCTATAACGATATTAACAGGTACCTAGGTAATTTTATAAATATAAAACTTGGTTCTTTAAGCTTCCCCCTATTTCATATTTCAAGTTTGCATTTATCTCCCGCCGAATAAGTAGGCCATATGAAGCACATGAGACCACACAAAGAGCGCTCATAGCGAGGCAGACCGAGTAGCCTGAGCGATAGTATGGAGCATCTTTCTTCAAGAAGAGGAACGTGGAAATAATCCCGCCTATATTTCCAAAACAAATCATCCATGCTGAACCGATACTTCGTTCCACATGACCCCGCAGGTTCATCACATACCAACAAACAATATTCCCTCCAACACCAAAAGAACCCATAGCTACGAGGCAAAGAGCCGCGTACTCGGTTGAAAAATGTGCGGCGCCGCGGACAGAGATGAGGATAGCAAGACCGCTGATCAGCAGCACGAGGCCAAGAAAGATAAAGGGCGAGCGCATCTGAAGCTTATCAGAGGCATAGGCTATAACTATGGCAAAACCGAGTGCCGCCGCAAATGGGGGGACCGAATGTAGTTGAGTTTGTATAGTTGTATAGCCGAGAGCTTGGATGATAGTCGGAAGGAAGTATACAATGGAATAAGAGGGGACTAATATCGCTGTTGAAGATTAGTAATTATATATGGGCAATTAAGGTATATAAATAGGGGCTTACTCAAGTACATGACGGCTGCAAACCATTGCTTAGGTTTCGTTAGGAAAACCAATACATCTCTTGTAGTGATAGGAACTGTGTTAGACTCGTTGGCCCCCGTTTTCTGCAATAAGAACCCCTTTTCTTCCTGAGATAGCCACTTAGCCTCTCTTGGGAAGTCTGTGACGCATAATAAGGCTACAAGACCAATAAGAACGGTCGCAATGCCTTCTAGAATAAAAACCCATCTCCAGTTGCTAAGGCCTCGGATGCCGTCCATATTGGCGATAGCACTGGCAAGTAAGCCCCCGAAGGCCCCAGCAAAAATCGTAGTGGACCAGTAGACTGTAAACCGTTTTTGGGCCTCGGCTTTTTCGTACCAGAAGCTAATTAAGTAGAAGCTACCCGGAAAGATACCGGCCTCGGCGAGCCCTAAGAAGAATCTGGTAGCCAGCAGCCCGCTGTAGCTCTGCACGAATCCTTGGCCGATCATCACGATCCCAAAACTTAGGATACATGCAGAGAGCCAGATACGAGGACCTAGCTTCTTCATAAGGATGTTGGATGGGACCTCGAAGATGATATATGGCACAAAGAAAATAGTGAGGGCAATATTTGACTGGTTGCCTACTAGGCCAAGCTCTGCGGGTAACCCCAATGTAAGTGCATTAGAAATATTGACACTATATACGTTTAGAATTGAATAATCCCCAAAAGATTAGGGTTCCTACCGATCTAGAAATGCTACAATGTATATTATGAATAATATCGGCAAGACACGTAGGTCTATCTTGCGTGATAGCTTAGCTTCATCGACACGAGGGTGTAAGAATAGATCGTGGATCAATTGAGAGTTCAAAATCTCTCTATTTTGATCCGGGTCATTAGAAACACGCATGTCTACTTCTCCAGATCCCGCCATTGTATGATATAAGAGAATAATATCGACTAAAATAATTAAGTATGTTGTGTAGATGAAGCGGTGGTAGACAAAGACAGCGGTACAAAGAAAAGTGTGTGGGACGAACCAGGCGGCGGATTGTCTGCATTTTTACGAAATTGAACCAATCCCCCTTCACTGGTTTCATCATATCGTGGATACCTATATACTTGGGCATATGTCTTAGACTTACATATGTACCTCTTAGACACATTCGACGAGTCATCTCGTTCGGATGCCGACCTACCCCTCTACAATCCAAATTTAGAACGAATTACGATGAAGTAGGATGCTGCGGGTATGAGATTTCGAATACACATAAGGCTATGAACCCTCACGATTGATCTTATGATTGCTCGAATTTATCATTACACATCTAAAGGATAATGTGAAAATGGAAACACCAACACCTGCTTTACCTCCACCTCCCGGAGTGACATCTAACTTCGTGAACCCGCCATCTCTAGGCAAAGAAATGAACATTACCATGGGAATCGCCGTTCCTTTGATAGTAATCTTCTTTGGACTCAGGACATACGTCAGAATCTTCATTAGGCGAACGTGGACTTTTGAAGATTGTAAGTTGCTCTTAGCCCTTATACACCTAGGTAGCTACGAGCTAACATGAGTAAAGGGCTCGCACTCACTGCTTGGGTAAGCCCGGTGCATATACACCCAGAGAGGTGACCTTATCTGACCAATTATTAATCCCTAATGTTTGTAGGTTGGTACAGTTTCTTTCGCTGGCGTTGGTGCTGCTACAATGGCACACAATGGTGGGAAACATGGGTGGGATATTACACCTGCTCAAGCTCAAGAAGCGTCTTATGTAGGATCTCAACTAGTTCCAGAGACACGAAAGAGTGAATATTTCGAATGCTGATTACTTCTGAAAGTGGTTCAATGTAGCTTCTATTCACTATGGGATCACGATTTGCGTTGCAAAGCTCGCGGTGTTATTGCTCTATCGTCGAGTCTTCTCTCCTCAACGTGCCACTCCTTTTGATATCACCATCATATTTCTAAACGTCCTACTCATTCTATTCTACACGGCAATCAGTATCGTTAAGATATGGGAATGCGTTCCCAGGGAAAAGATTTTCAATGACAAGATCACGGGATCTTGTATTAATACTCCCATACTACTCAATGTCAGTGGGATCTTTAATACGGTGACCGATTTAATTATTCTCTTGCTTCCAGTAAAGGTAGTCTGGGGGCTGAATATGAGACCCCGGGAAAAGGTGGCTGTCGTATTGGTATTTACCTTTGGTTTATGGTCAGTACCTACCTCTTAACCTATTTATACTACATATTAGTACCGAACTGAATTGTATCATAGCGCTCCCGCATTTAGTTTGGCGGGCACTATTGTACGGATACAAGGCACCAACAACCCTGACAAGACTTGGGTTCAGCCTGATATCATTATGTGGGGGTGAGTAAATTCTTCGGTGCACGGAGAAGAATATGGGCTGATTTAAATGTCTAGGCTGGCTGAGTTGACGACAGGAATACTTTGCGTAAGTCTTCCAGAGACGGGACCGCTATGGAAAAAGAAAGAACATCCCAGACCAACTGCTAGTATTTTGAATGGGACATGTCGCTTAAATCCTCCTTTATCACGAAAAAAGAAAAGTAGGAGACTTTCTTCAGTTATGTCTCGGAGCACTAGGCATTTAGATAGTGAGACATATCTTACCCTAGAGGAGAGAGACATGCATGGTCATGACGCTCAGCAAGAAGATAGGGGAGATAACCATCATTATAGAAATGATGACAAGTTTACCTTAAGCAGTAGATAGGTACCTACCTATTTAGGCGGATTATATGTAACTAGCAAGCTGTTATAGCACATATAGTCTTATCAGCAATAGTCCTTACTACATATTAAACATAATGACAATGCGTCAAGGGAGACTTTAGTATCGGCGTACATTCATCAAGCAGACGCAGGCAATCGGAT